CCCTCTTCTTGAGGCCGGCTGCCCGGCTGCACAGGCGGCAAAAGCCGGCCGTTCCCCAGCTGCCCCAGGGGAGCACGCCGGGGCCCGGGGGACCATCGCCCGGGCCGCAGGGCGGCCGGGGGCTCCCCGCTCCTGGCATCGGCCTGCCTGCAAAGAGAGCGAACGGGGCACGGCCCCTTTTCCTCATGCGGCCGCTGGCAACGTCGCCCTCTTGGTCTTACCTCGCATTTTTACCGACGGACAAAAAAAATTTGCTGCGGAGGTCAGTGCTTGTAACAGAGAATTTTTGCCTCCTGCTTCAATCCACGAGCTCCCTGTCAAGTTCGGCCTAATGGACTTTACAATTCAACTGCAACTACGCTACAAAACCAGCGTTTTAATTTCCTTCTTGCTGCCGTTAAATGACATTAAGCTGAAGTGTGCTTGCTGCATAGGAAACTTTCCAAAAGCGCATGTCTTCTGCTTAAAACCAACCAATTCATTACACAAAGAAAGAAGCAGCTACAGATTGTGAAGTGAACGGCTCGTTTCTGGTCACCACGTCCTTGGGAAAAAAAACAGAACAGGCAGATCTTATCCTCTGATGCTTTGTTTTTATTCATCGATGAGAGAAGGAAGGAGAAAGCCCCCAAGCTTTCTTGCTCTTCTCAGGCCCCAGTCTGTTTCCCAGCTGCGAGCGGATCAGCCAGACACCTAAACTGAAGATAACACTCTCCGTGCGCGCGCAAAGGTCTCCCGGGACGGTGAGACCAGGGGAAAAGCTCGCCCTCCACCTGCTCCGCTGCTGATGCTTTTTCCCTGACCCTCTGCCCCTGGAGGGGGGCTAACGGAGGAGATGGACCGCTGCTCTGACCCGGGTACCTATTCTGACCTTGGGCCTTTCCAAGCAGATTTAATATTGACATGACCTGGTTTGAGGGCTCCATGAAGTGACCTATCTCAGGCTCAGAGGGGTGAGGAGGGACTGGCCAGGTGGGCTCAGCAACACCAGCATCCTGACCAAGTATTATTTTTATGCAGTGTAAAATGTTACTGGATTAAGTGGTTTTAAACAATTTCAACAGTAGCTTTCGGGTTTCATATAGGCTGCTCAAACCCCACGTTCATGGCAGAGAGGATTTTAAAACGCATGTAACATACACATGCGATAGTAGCATTGCACGAAAGAATGCAATTACTTTAAAACAGGAGCGTCATCAACCCTGATTAAGATTCACGCAGCGCAGCCTGACAGATCCCTGCGCTCTCCCTCCTCGCCCCTGCTCGACTCGCTCTGCGAACCCCCGTCCCCCCGGGCACGGTGACGCAGACCCGCACGACTCGCCGTTTCCCTGCCGTGGCTCAACTAATCCCAGCGCGCTCGGCCCGAGACGATTCCTCCCAACACCTCCTGCTCCTTCTCCTTTGCGCGCCGCAGTGAAAAGCGAGGAGGATGGAGCAGCACGGGGCAGCTGGGGCACCAACCAGCTCCCGCGTGCCGTGAAACAACGGCGAGCGTGCGAGGTCCTTCCTGCCCCCCGGGTCGGGCAGCCTGCCCCGGACCAGCGGGACAGCGCAGCGAGGATTTGGGCAGACACCGCGTGCATAGAGATCCCGAGCTTGCTGTGCTGCTGGATGTGCGATGCCTCTGCAGACTGCAAGTCTGAAAAACCCTACGGGAGAGGCTCTCCAAGGCCCTCGTATTTACATGCTAGTCCCAGCGAGAGCTGGGGAATGCTACGGGGATGACCCAGCCCTTCTTCCTGCCAGGGCACGACTGCTCCCCAGGGCGAGTTGCAGACACACTGTCGGGTTTTACACGTCCCTGGCAGCTGCAGCTCCGCCGGCGGGAGTCGTCTGGCTGCACGCACTCCTTTGCGGCAGCACGACGGGTCTGCCTGCAAAGCGCTCGCCCTGCTCCGCGCCCGGAGCAAACCACACCGGCAAGCCGCTATGCTGCCACAGCCTGATTTGGGCTGAGCGGAGTGG